CACACACATAATATATATTATATAGTACCTATAGCACTATAAAATATCATATAAATAATATATTATTATTATTATTGTATTATAATTTATATTGTACCTCCTGCGGTTTCGTAAGATGGTATATTTGGAATAGAAGGCTTCTGCAGTAGTCGCCCGCAGTATAGGAGCTGCAGAGAGATCCTTTTTGGTAGATATATCGACTCGTTAAACAAACGGGTGCCATTATATAGATACCTGGGCATAGTACGATTTATAATAGACCAGTAATTAATATTCACGGATGGGAGCCATAATATATTATCATTTCGGGCGGACGTGGCCACCGAAATCAATAAAACACTTTTAGTTAATAATCGCACGGGCGAATGGGCGAGATTCTTAATATGTAAATCAGAGGTACATTATATTATCCGAATCCATTAACGAAAATACTACGCCTGGCCTCTGACATTGCTGTAATAGTGCTGCAGTATAAAATAGGTAATGCGATTTTACACGTTTTGTTCATCCGACCGAATAATATAATGTCAAAATTATGTTTACTGACAATAGACGAATAAATGGGAGCAAAACGTTCGCGATGTACACTGTGCATAATAATATTATATGAAAATATGCTTAGGTGCAAATTATATTATAAATAATATAGCATATAGGTGGTGATTATATAAGGTGTTTTGAGCAATAATGTATAACATTTGTCACATAGAAAGAGTTATAATATTATAGGTACATATGTGTCCGTCCGATAGAGAAAAATATTTCTATAATATAGGTATATATATATATTATAACATAGATAAATCTGAAGGCATCAATAATATAATATTATATATAGGTACCAGCTGATACTTTCTGATTTAGAAAAAGTGCATTAAATTCATTCTAAAACATTGGTTATTAAAATAATAATGTTCAATCAATAAACTCTCGAATTTATTATCATGAATGTTTTATCAACATATGTATTATCAAGTTATACTCTGATTACAATATTGATTGGAGTTTTAAAAAATAATAGACCAACACAAATAACAAACAAACGATATTTATTGTTATAATGTGCATTAATTATAGGTATAATTTTAGTTGTTAAATAAAAATCCAACAAATTAGCTGTAACTTGTAAGTTATAAAACGCATTCTTATTGTTGATGTGAGTTACTTCACTCATATATCCAATATCCAAACGTTTTTCAATAAATAAGCCAAAATATATCTTTACTCTTTAGCTATTGTTATCGGAGCACGTGGCCGAAGATAAATTTTCGGTGGGCTAGCAACAATATCGAAACATTTGATTTAGTCCATATTGAGTTTAGTAGAGCCTCACAAAAAAAAAAAAAAATGAAAAGAAATGAAAAGAAAAGAAAAATATAAAATATAATAATAATATAAAACCGAAAATTGTGTTTAATGCCGTACCTACGTGTTTTTTGAACTCGGTATTATTATTGTGTGGTGCACCTTATACACATTCGGCACAAATGGTACAATACGAGTTACATAATGGTCCAGTGAATTTTCGAGTGGTTTCAGACACCGTGTAAAAGGTATTTTTATTACGTATAAAAGCCACTTGGATTATAATACATTTACTGAATTACCTGAATTTTGTGTGCCCAATGACCCGTAAGGATTTAGACATTTTGATAAAGAAAAAAAATATGAGATAAAGTGTAGGTACATTTTATTTATTATACATAACTCGACCTCTTTATATATATATATATATGAGACCTACTGACGATCGTTGTACATTATTGTAATAATATTCAATATCGGAAATAAAATAAGAACATCGTTCAGTGGTTTATTATGTGTAACAATGTTGGAATGGAATACGTTCGAAGTGTAATAATTGAGAATCCATAGTCGTCGTTGTTCCATCATTAAAAAGTATATAAAATATATAGGTAGTACAGAGACCTTACATCTTGATAATTTCCTCTCTTGAGAGAAGGGATGCAAAAGCAACTACCCCGAATTCACTGTTATCACTTATAAAATGGTTTTTTGTAGTCCGATAAATCAAAATTAATTCTAGATTATTTTATATTCTGTGGGAAGTGTCGTTCGATAATTAGTTTATCGTAATTTTTATTCTTAAACGTTCAGATAATATTGATGAAGGAAATGTTATTGTTAGAAATGGAAGTACGTCATTATGTTTTGGTATTGGATTTCTACTTTTTACGCACTATCGATATTTTATTATTTATTATTTACCTACCAGATAGGTTTGGTTTGGTATCTATGCTTACATTAACCTGCAATATAATATTATCTTCATAAATTGTAATGAGATCTACACTTGAAATAATCGGGAATTTTCATAATTTTTGACACTGTATTTTAAATGTATTAATTTTAGTATGTAAAAAAAAGTAGATTTCACGGTATACAAATTATGCTTTAATTATAACTGTAAAACTATTGTTTATACACATACTGAGGAAACGTATATATAGACATATAGTGTATTTATAATTAAACTCTAGTTAAATTGTACCTACATGCTGTACGACAGTGTCTACTAATTATTAGGTAATAAATACCCGATTTTCTAATCACATAAAGCAGACAAATAGTTTTAATGCTTATCTATGTGTGCTGGAACATTTTTTAAATTAAATTATGAACAGTCGAACCGATTGACATAGTTAACCATACTAATATGTTTACACAATATATACCTATTATCCGGGAGTATAACACTTTACACCGTGTTGGTAGTACCTATATAATATACGAGCAAGTAATTTCCCAAAATTCGTACATCGTGAACACACAAATAATAATTGTAATAATTGTATTATTTTTATCAATATTATTGATACTTGTGCTCGTCACTCGATCGAACTTCTGCTTCCAAGGCCCAGGAGATATTATTATGATACTCAAAGATCGTGTGCTTAGCACGAGCAGTTATTTATCGTCTGGAAACGATACACAAGCCGTCAAGCATACGCAGTTATACGCGAGAATGGACGTGCACGTGTCTCAACGTCATAATTATCGAAATAAATAATAATAATGTGTAAGTAATACTTGGCAGAGCCAAAACTTTGAGAAACGTTCACGAATTTAATTCTATCGTTTTACGTCGACGAAAGACGTTTGGAAGATTAATTCTGTGGAAGTTATGCTTTGGAAGCTGTCCAGGGCCATTTCGATTGTTTTGAATCGTTCCCATTCAACTATTATAATACCTATATACATATTTTATTCATTATTAAAATATATAAAAAGCCGTTTTTGAATACCGCGTACCAAACGAAAATATATTGTGTAATATATAATAATAAATATCATTATTATTATTATTTACATGCACAATGGAGATAACAATACGGTCTTAAATTTAATAAATAAACAAAACAGACAGTTAATTAATTGATTACGATGTGGCGGAGCGTTCTTAATTTATGTACGTATATACAGTAATAACTATAATAAGTGCTTTTCATGGAGAAATTCGCATAATATTTTTCAAACAAACTTACTTGAACACACTTCAAATTAATCACGGGGAATTCAAACTTTTGAACCCGACAACCCGTCGTATATATACCTATATATTACTATACAATATTATGATATACTAACAATAAACTATAACAAAGTATACCTAATACTTTTATAGTATACTCTTTGTAAATGTATAATATAAATTTGAATTTTTAATGGAAATTGTCAAAATCTAAAAATGAACACAATTAAAGTTTAAAACTATATAATAACAATAAATTAACATAAAGTCCTGTATCGTGTTAGTGGTTATTTCGTATTATAATTAATACATTTTAGTGTTGTATAATGTTGAAAACGCTTGTGAAGATTGTAATATTTTTTAATTCGTATTTTGCTTAGAAAAAATAAGGTATAATAGTAATAATATGTGAGGAAACAGTGAGCATGATGTAATTCATTAGGTAATTAAATATTAATATAGGTAGTACATTATACGATACACGATTTCAGGGTTTAATTAAGTTGGATGAACAATACTGTTAGTTATTATTCCTTCAAATGAATAAAACGTTATACATTACTATATGTAATATATTTAACAATAATTTGAAACTGCTTTACAAGAAAAACATCACGTTTGGCATTATCGAATCTCTTTAATATAATTTCTTATTCGAAATCATTGTGCGGCGAAAACCTTAAAGATTATAAAATATAGGTGAGATCATTAAGTGCACTATATATTATAAAAAATTAATGAATGTTGTCGAATGGACCAGTGTACCCGTTTAGTGTGAACAATGACCCCATAGAAATTTGATTCCCGCCTGCATATAATTGCAAAGAATGACTCTGCTCACTGTTGAGTTATAATATTTGTTCATAATGGTTCCTAATGGTTGTGGGCTTTATAGAAAACAGAATGTCGGTATTACATTATTCTGATGCTAAGTAATGCAATAGTCAGTTGCGATGAACTGAAAATGAATGACTGAGAAAGTGACACGTTCACACGAATCAAAAAATCATTGCAAACTCCAATATTTAGAGCTTCAATAGAGTAGCCGTACAATATAATATGGTGCATGCCGTATAAAAAGTTGGTTATGAAATAGTACCTAGATAACCATATGGGTAATAGGTATACTCGTATACATACCTACATGGTAGGTAGGTAGGTACGGAGGTGTACAGGGTGATTTTTTTAAACATGCTCAAAGAGTAAAGACTATATTTTTAAATTCCTGATATGTTTTGTATTACTTAAGGAGTGTCCTGTGGCGATACAAACATCTGTTTTTAAAATAAATACAGTAGAACCCGTTTAAGACACTCTCCAAGGGACCAGTTAAAAATAGCGTCTTAAGCAGGAAATCGTATTACGCGGGAACAAAAATTTTTTTTACATATTTTTTACAAAAATTTTTTTTACATATTGTACATATTAAACATGTACCTATTATGTTTATTTTACTTTGCTGAGTGAGTTATTACATTTATATTGCATATTATTTTATACATATTACTTATTTCAAAAAATCATCTATCTTCCTTTGTTTCATATTTTTTATGTTTTTTGCATACAGGAAGTTTTCAATTTTATTAAGATGATTTAACGATTCATCAGCGTCGTCAAAAGATGCAACTAATCTTCTTAGCTCATTAACATAATCAAGTGCATTTACTACTGGGAGAATCGGTGTTGTATCATCCTCTTCCTCGACTTCGCTTTCTTCATCTATAGAAGTTACATCAGCCGGTGCAATTTTATCAGTAATTATCTGGTCAATGCTTCTAATCAGTGCCGCAATTAGCGGGGGTGCTGGGGGTGCATGGCACCCCCAAAAGGGCCCTATAATTGTAATTAGGGGGCCCTTTTCAGACATAAAAGATTTAAGATTTTAAACTAATATTCCAATTTACAACACATGATGAGAATTGAAATTTTTCGATGAGGATAGAAGAATTGATATAACTGAAGACAACTTTCGGGTGTCAGTGTTCTTACCTATTATTGATACTGCGTTGTCACAATTACAAGGAAGGTTTGAAGGAATGAAGACAGAACACAATAATTTTGAATTTTTAACTCCTTCTATGATACTAGATTCTGAAGAATCAGAATTGATAAAAATTGCATATGACTTTGTTCAGTTTTATCAAAACGATATAAGTTCTGATTTCCCTAGACAACTTTTATCACTTAAAGTAAATTTAAAAAATATGAAGTTGAAGACTATAAGAGATCTTAGTGATTTTTTTTTAGAAAATGATCTTTGTTCAGTCTATAGTGACATTATGACTACATGCATTATATTTTTAACACTATCAATGACTGTAGTTTCGGCAGAACGCTCTTTTTCTAAATTAAAACTTATAAAAAATTACTAAAGGAATTCTGTTAGCCAAGAACGTTTATCACACATAGCTGTACTGAACATAGAAAAAAGAAAACAAAAGAATTAAATATTGAAAAAATAATCAACGATTTTGCTCATAATAAAGCTAGGAAAAAGAATTTTCTAAAATGATAATATTTGTACTCTTTTCTATTCCAGTTAGTGAATAATATAATAAAATATAATTTTATTCTTTCAAATTTGTATTATAATACGAATGCTATTGTAATAAACTGTATTAAGGTACATAATGTTATGTTTAATTTATACTTAAAAATTAAAAAATATCAACTGAGATGAAAACACATATGGTTTTAGGCTTACATTTCGAATGGAGGCCTATGCATAAATTATTTGACTATTTTTGTAAGTAAAATTATTTAAAATAAAGTGATAAAAATAGTTTTGCTTTTTAAAATTTGTACTTGGTATGCACTATGTATAGGCATTGTAAGGAAAGCCAAAATAAAAAGATTTAGCCCCCTGATGTGAAACCAAATGTCTTTATTATTTTCGGGGTTTTTTTGTTACCAGGGGGTTTTAAGCCCACCCTTAATTGCGCTTTTGGTGCTATTCAATTTTGTAAAAAGGTTGAAATAGGGGGCCCCAAAATTTGACTCGCACCTGGGCCCTTTTATCTCTAGTTGCGGCACTGCTTCTAATGTTACTTGTGGCGACGTCCTCGTCAATTTCTGCATATCCTGGAAACTCCTCCAATTCTTGAAAATCTTCGCTGCTTTTTTCCACGGCACTGTAATCACCCTCAACAAATTATGATTTTCGAAAACAATTTTTAATGACATCAGCCGTAATTTCATCCCATGCTGCAGATACGTAGTGTAATGCATCGAGTACGTCAACTTTTTTCGCGGGATTTTTACTTTCCATTTCTTTCAAGTATCGTAAAACCAATTTTTTTCGATATTTTTGTTTTAAAACCTTGATAATACCTTGATCCAGAGGCTGTAATTTGGCTGTTGCGTTTGGGGGTAAAAAAACAAGTTTTATGTTTTCAAGTGGAATAGTAGTAGGATGTGCAGGACAGTTATCTACAAACAGTAAAATGTTCCTATTCTGTTTTTTAAAAGAGAGGTCTAATTGTTTTATCCAGTTTATAAAAATATCACCTGTCATCCAAGCACGATTTTGTGATACGTAATCACATGGAAATGTACGTACATTTTTAAAACAACGTGGAGCTTTACTTTTTCCAATAACTAGAAGTCTTAACTTTTGAGAGCCAGTAGCATTTGTACATGCCAAAACTGATAGACGTTCTTTACTTAGTTTGCCACCATGGCATTTTTCACGTTTAAACACCAAAGATTTATCAGGCATCAATTTAAAAAATAACCCAAACTCATCTGCATTGAATATATCATAAGAAGAGTATTCTTTTAAAATATTTGGCAAAATATTTTCACTCCATGCAGCGATATCAGCGTCATTAACGGACTCTGCTTCGCCCCAAATTTGTCGATATACAATACCATGCCTTTTCTTGAACCGATCAATCCAGCCACCAGATCTAGAAAATTCATCAATATTAAGCTTGGTTAAACCACTCCAACAAAATATGTTCTAGTTCATCGAATTTACCATGTTTTATTTTTTGTCGTTTACAACTACCGGTCATTGCACTGCTCTCAATTTTACTTCTGTTTGCCAAAATTGTTCGTAGGGTCGATGCAGGTAAATCCATTTCTTTTGCAATTTCTTTTTGATTTTTGTTGACACTTTTTTCATCGTACATTTTTAAAATGTTTAACTTGTCAGTAACAGAAAGAGCTTTTCGTTTAATTCCTCCACGATCAGCCATAATTAAAAATTTAACTCGAACAATTTACACTTAAAGAGGATAAAATAAATTACACTTTACTATACGTCTTTATACAACCACTAACTTTTGTTAACTGGGGCCATATCCGATTATATTCCGATTACGTGAATAGCCATGTGTACTGTGTAGTGTGTCGTATCTAATCGTCTTATCGCCCGAAAACCAGTACTACTAACACGTACACACTATTCGTTATCGTTATTATTTAGTTACATATTATTAGTGATACGTATATACGATGTATTTTTATATTAATATAACTGACAAGGCGAGCGTCTTGTACTACCCCTTTTTACTGCAAATTATTTAGTGGTTAATTTTCTTGAAAATTTTGATGTATCCAAATCAAAATTCTAATAAGTAGTTTCTGAGTTATTAAAAGTATATGTATATACTAAAGATAATAATCCTTAAATCTGTGGAAAGATGGCAGAAGCTGATATTTACATTTTACAAACTTAGTTTTGCGCTACATATATTTTCAAATAATGACATATCAGTTTTGGTCTTTGCATATAAATGGCACCACACACATAGTAGAGACTTATCATATTTTTCCACCACTTGAAATATACGATTGTCTATTTCTAATCTATTTGAATGATAATTCGAAAATTAACAAAATGTACATATCAGCTTCTACCATCATTCCACAGAAATATGGTTTTACAAAAATATAAGCTACATTAATATTAGATGTAGTATTCATTATACTTGAATTATTTTTACAAATTATTTATATTGACGAATCAATAGTAATTAATAAAATTTTCAAATCATCCAAGCCGCCGAATCTACTTAACCCATTGCCATAGATATATTATCCCTAATACACAAAGTTATATAACTCAAAAACAATTCGTTCGAATTTAGATTTTGATACATCAAAATCGTAAAAAAAAAATGTCTGCTGAATAATTAAAAGTGAAAAACAGAAGTTTGTATTGTCAGATAATCATCGTTAAATTGTTACAAAAGATCTTAATTCTTAAGTATACAAAAATATGGTCTCCGTGAGTGTTAAAAATTCCAAAAATTTAAATTTCAATACATGTACCTCCAGTTTAAGCAAAAAACAGGGCGAGTACGATAAAGTCACTCTGTATATTAAATTGTATTTTGATTTCGTAGCCTTAAAACTATAATAAACGTAGGTTTGACAGCAATATGTTCAAAATATTTAATACCTACTTATTTCTACAAGGTATCTATACAATATTTAGGTTTTATTTCATTATTTGACTATGTAATTTGATACGTTTAAAAATTAATTGGTTTGTTCATTGATTTATGCAAATCGATAACTTATAAGTGAAGGCAGAGAATATAATCTATAAGTAGATATATCTATACGATTAACGAATAAACAACAGTTTATTTATTATATGCTTGTTAGTTGTTAGTTTTACAAAATTAATCATTGTAATTATCTTTTATACTTACTAATTCAATATTTAAACTTGTTTGTTAGTTATCCAAATAGTAATCTTGTGTGGGAAGTGTTTTGAGATTTTATTTTAGCACTACGTGAGCTCGTTGGAAAAAAATAACTATGCGTTGTGCCGGAGGGACGATAATAATTTTAAATTATTTGGTAATATAATTACTATTATTTGTGCAAGCAATTCGATCAGTGTTGTGTCTGAAACAGAAACCGTGTTGGAGGGTTCCCCAAACATACCTATGACTTTCAAGTTGGTAAACGATTTTCTCTATAAGGTACAACGTACAAACATTAATTATTTCATATTTGTTTACTGCAGTGCCGATCGAGACTTACCGCGGCGTGTGTTTATTATTAAAGACATTTTTCGGGGACACTTAATTTATATTTTTTTGGGAAAAACTGGTATATGAACATTGCATTGGCACAACAACTATATTGTGTGATACTATAGTATGAAATTCACCATCTATTTCACACCAATTAAACTAATGTTTAAAACATTAAACGCGTATTATTGGTTTACTATCTCCATCACAGACACACACGTGCTGTAACAATCTCGTTCTAAAGAAAGAAGTAAATACCTAGCTCAATTCTATCTCCATTTCTGAATCCAACCTGGGTAATTCAAGTAGATGGTTGTTTGAAGTTCTTCACACTTGATGAAAACGCCAAACATACAATGATTTTACCTTTAGTTAACATTATTGTTAAATAATACACTTTTTGCTTTTTTTTTTTTTTTAACAATTTTAGATTGTTGTAGGTATCTTTTTCTGTGCTGTTCGTGTGACGGTCCACTGCATCAGCTGCTCTGCGATGTAACACCACCGGGCGCCGGGCATAAAAACCGGAAACCTCAAGAGAACCAATAAATAATATTAAATCGATAAATCAAGTGCTCCATAAAAATAATTATGATTATTGTAGACATGGACACGAGATAGAAGATTCGTTTTTCGAGAAAACAACAATGATGGATACGACCGTATCCATGTGTAATAGCACAGATATCAGCTATATTGTACATTTGTACTAGTTAGCGAACTCCCAGCATAAATTGAAGCATCAAGGTCGTTGGGGCAACTGTATGGTATTATATAATATGGTAAATAAGATTAATTATGTTTTATCTTGTATTGTATTTTATTTCTTCTAAACCTGTTGTTTTTAAAAAATAAAAAAATATATTTTTATATAAATCATTTTACATTTAATATTTTATTTTACCATTAAAAACTATGTTATATTTCTAATACATTTTGTATAATGAATGAAATGTTTTGCCCCCCGAGAAAATGGCGGCCGACCACAGCTTATAGCTTCACTTGATAACAATGTAAATTATATAGGAGCACCTTATGTCCTTATCTAGTTAGTACAGATCTGTGTATAATAGGTGCATGCTGCTTTTTTTTAAAGGCAACGAGTGAAATGTGCAGCTTGCCACCTATAATATAATATATTTTTATAATAATTGATTACCTAAATATTGGTAATTTGCATAAATGACATGTACAAATTTAGATCCGTTTTAAAAATTAATTTTTCCACTGAGGACGATCAAAGCCAGGGACGGATTGGAATTACTGACCAGCCCGGGAAAATACTTTTTTATCTGCCCACTATTTGTTGGGGAATTGGGGGCAAATGGCAAGTGTACCATACTGAAGAATGAAGATAGTAATTTTTTTAAGTATTTTAAAGGGTAGTCTACTGTTATCCATGTTATTATAAAATCAACCTTTAACAATAAAATGTAATAATAAAAATAATAATAATGGAGTAACAATAGTATTACTTACATATAAATGTTACATAATAAAATTGTAGTACCTAATTTTTTTTATTTGAATAAATAATGGAACTGGTTTAATTTACAATGAAAGATTTTTTTTAAAAGAGAACTCTCTTTTTATATAATTTTTTCAATAATTATTATACTAGGATGGATATCAATGAGTTAAAAAGTTTAAGTTAAGTTACAGACTTACAAACTGAGTTAAAAAAACACATTAATTTGCCCAGCCTTGTTATTAAATCGATAAATCATAATTTATACTTAAAGATAAATATTATCTATAATTTTTAAGAGTATCAGTTGAATATCACACCAAAATAATTTAATGTATATTTTCATATAAAAAAAATAAAATAGGTACCTATTGCATTAGGTATTTTGCAAAATATGTTGTTTCTCTCATTCTCTATCAATAAAATAAATTGTAGATTATTGTACTTTGTACAGTAACAGTTTAATATTCTTGATTTTTAATATATTGTTATTATAATGACAAAGTTCAGCTAAAACTCACTTCGCATTAAGAGACTTGAAAAATGATTTAATGCTTTTAGAAACCTTTGCTTCTAAAGTAGTACCTATTATTTTTATTTTTGTTTAAAATTTTTTCAGCTCCTCCTTTTCGTTTTTTGCTACAGTCTGATCCATCCATTTCCATTTTATTTTATAATTTGCAACTATTACTATTGTAATATAAAACATTTTATGAATTATTCTTAGTTAAGTACTTGGTAATTTAATTGTAAAATTAACCAAATTGTGCTGAACTGCTGACTGCCGAGTGCTGATATCGAGGTTTTGAATGACGATTGATACCTATTTAAATATAAATATATACATTTCAAATAAAAATATTCATATTAGGTAGGTATTCATATTAACGACCCGCATCGACCTGTATTGTCAAAATTCGTCGTCATTACCCGCAACCCGCTGATCGACGACAACCCGAATAACTAGAGAGTTCTCTACGAATAACCAATTTTACTGTCCACGGAAGTTGATTTTTTGATTACAGACTACAGTTATTGTTATTACTTATTGATAATTAATATTATTATTCAATTTCTGTTGTAGACGTTGTATACTTGTATTATTACAATTTACAACATTTTACGTTATAATATTATAGACTGTTATTACGTAATATCATTGAATGAATAATCTATAATCAGTGGTAATATATTTTATTATATAATTATAAATTATAGATTATATTTACGTCTACCTACTATTTACTATTTAGTAAGCGGCCCATCGGGAATTTCCCGATTTCCCTATGGCCCAATCCGTCCCTGATCAAAGCCATAAGGAAGTGTGTGTGTGTTCTGATGACCACTAAGTTAAAAGTTAGAACTGGGTGGATTTTACTTTGATTTGACGTGCTCGTTTTATTTATGAAGATGGACATAATATTATAATATATAATGTTAACCTCAATTAAAAAAAAATTATCCATGGTGAAATTAGGTCCAGTAAAACTAGGTCATAATATTTTCTAATTTCCTAGGTAAAATCGCGTTATTAATTATTACTACACCACACTATTCACTACTATTATACCTACACCAACTGTAGCTTGTATATAATAATAAAATATTAAATAATATATAGATATAGTGCCTGTAGACAGTGCTCGACTTGGCAATTTTAAAGTATAGGGAGACTCTGTTTCCTTTTAAAAAAAGGCCGTCCCCATCACTCGTTAAACGTTATCGTCTATCGAGCACC